GCACGCGATCTAGATGATTCCACATCTGCGATGAGAAGCAGATCAGTGGAACTACTGCTCGAAACGTGTCAGACTGGATCACAGTACCGCTGTAGTCCTAACCTCTATGAAAGTACGGACGCCACTGCACACAAGGATTGGTCACATAATTACTCCTAAATTTATAACAAATCAATTAAAACTATTCTATAGAAATGTTATATACTAACCACGAATGTCGTGCACTCGTCAAACCACAGCTTTTACAGGTAGAACTGATCTCCATGCTGATGGGTGTTGGCCGGAAGCCACCGAAGGCCACGTGGCTGCGTCCTGAGTAATCTGCGCACCCGTCTCCGCATGTAGTGGTGATGTATGAGAAAACCGCTCCCACGTCCAGATCATCAGCAAGGCGGACCATCCACCAAAGTCACCACCCAGTGAAGAAGATGTCGTCATCTGCAACGCCGATCTACCCATCTCACGGTACAAGTAGGATAGCACAGCTGCTCCCCAAGCAAACCTCCCCGCTCTGCGCCAATCCTCCACCAAAAGTAGGTACTGCAGGTGAACTGAACCTCCAGACCGATCGGAGAACAAGACACCTCCCATCAGAGACAGCGCATACGCTCTTGCAAACTGCTCTGTCGTCTGGGGTGATGCAGAAAGCGGTAGCTCATCGAAAGTCTCCCTGAGCCAAGCAATCCGGATGACGCTGCCACCAAGATTAGTAGGAGCCCGTCCTAACAGTCGAAGACACATAGCCGACCAGTCCTCGTCTTGTATGTCTACTACGACGGCATCACCGTCGGTCGCTAGAACGGTCAGTGTCGCAACGTCCTCTAGGGTGATCGTCACCTCACCGAACGGCATGTGGAAGGTCGATGTCTCGGGTCGCCAATGCTCTACGAGCGCAGTAATCAAACCCGGATCACCGGTAAGCGGGGCTAGTGGCAGAACACTAGACAAGCCGGCATCGGCGAGATACGGCAGGTAAAGTGGATGGTATCGGACTAAATTGCCCGTATAACGAATGTGATAAGATCGATCACCAGCCTATAATTAATGCACAAAACTATATTAATTCAATTCCTTCAATTCACCTAATATTTATATTTATATATCTAAATTAAACTTATTCTAATATAATATACTCGTAACTTAATCTAATTCTATTCCTATTTTAATTTAATTCTATTATATTATATTATATTATTCAGCTAATAAAAAACTATAGAAATAGTTTGAAAAAAACTTACCTCATTTGCCCAAACTGCGTCAATACGATGGTGACCATGCCCCCAAAGAAGTTCCGGATCCACCGGAGCAGTATCGATTGTTGCAGGTGGTGGTCTCATCGAACAAGGATCGATAAGCCTTAGAACTGAAAAAATAATAGAACATAAAAAAAAGGATCGATAAGTCAACTTACTCCTATAGCGTTCGCGGCCGCTGCCACGACGCCCTCGCCACCCTCGGCCCCTTCCTCTGCCGGGCGCCTGCTGCTACTCGTCGTCGAACATGGCAGAATAAGCAGATCTGCTTGCTATGACGCTCTAGTTGTGACGCCTTCGTCAAGCTTTGAGCGCGGCCGCCTAAGACTGAGGCGGTGCCCTCTTTTTCTCGGCGTCGCCGCTCTTTCGTTTGGCGTCGGCGCTGGGTTGGAAGAGGTGAAGGAGGGAGGAGGGGAGGGTCGGGGGGGGGGTGTGGTTCTGGTGCGAGAGGGCAGGGCGAGGAAGGGGATAAGAAATAAAAGGAAGCTAGCGACGCCGCCTGAGTCTCAGGTGTTGGCGCTATTTGAAAATTTGAAAATTTCAAATAGCGCCAAAACCTAAGACTCGGGCGTTGTCGCTGCTTTTCCCCCTTCAAAACTCAATATTCTGAGTATCGGGCGCCGTCGCTGCCTTCCCTCCTTCAAAATACAATATTCTTGTAAATAGTTTTTAAAACACTATATTCGTGGTAAATTAAAAAAATAATAATATTTAGGGAATTTACCCTGTGTATTGTGTTTCGATTAAGAATTCAACTCCTTTTGATGGTTGCTTTCACTTTTCTTAATTGTATCTCTCGACTCTCAAACATGATTTATTTTTAGCCATTTATCCCAAAACGCTTAACTCTTATTATGAAAATATGGTTCCTTATCCCTCTCATCATTAAAGAGTGCAATACAGATTCCCATTTGGTGAAAAAAACCTTCCTGCCATGTGTATCCTACTACTATCCAGCAGCACAGCCGATTTACTTCTTACCGTCCCTACCTTTGATTAAGTCTAATAATTAATAAGTGCTGCACTAACAAATATCTGGCAATGGCCCTTTCTTCTTGTTGTTCTTGAGAAAATGGGTTTTAACTCCACCGGGAGGGGCTGGATCAGGGAGTGCCTTGTCTCCACTTCTTTTTCGGTTCTAATGAATGGCACCCCTTCAGGGTATTTCTCCCCTACAAGGGGTCTTCGGCAGGGGGTCCTCTTTCACCTTTGCTATTTGTCCTCTGTACTGAGGGATTTGCCGCTCTCCTACGGAAGGCTATTGTTGAGCGCAAATTGGAAGGTGTGAAGGTTGCTCCACGTGCCTCTAGGATTTCCCATTTGTTCTTCGCCGATGACTCCTATTTATTTCTTCGTGGCTCTCTTCAGGAATGTGAGAACCTGCTTGAAGTTTTAAATGAGTACGAAGAACTCAGTGGGCAGAAAGTTAATCTGGGTAAATCAGCAGTGTGCTTTAGTAAGAATATTGCCCTGCCAGATCAAGATTTCTTGGCTCAGATTCTGGGAGTGGGTGCAGTAGGCGTCCATGATAAATACCTTGGCCTACCGACGCTGATAGCCCGATCTAAGATGGCTACCTTCCGGTATCTAGAGGAGAAACTTTTGGAGAGACTACAGCGGTGGAAGCAACGAACTTTGTCTTGGGCGGCTAAGGAAACTTTGATCAAATCGGTTGCTTTAGCTTTGCCCTTGCATGTCATGTCATGTTTTAGGCTCCCTTTGTCTCTCTGTCGCCTTCTGGATAAGCATATAGCACGCTTTTGGTGGGGCACTGAGAATGGCCATTCTAAGATGCGTTGGATGTCATGGAGAAATATGTGTCGCAGCAAGCATGATGGTGGTATGGGTTTCCGTCGCTTCGAGCAGTTTAATCAAGCTCTCTTGGCTAAGATTGGATGGCGTATCCTGAATGAGCCTCAATCGCTTTTAGCCCAAGTCTATAAAGGAAAGTATTTTCCCCAGGGGTCATTCCGTAATGCTCAGGCTCGGTCGCGTCCATCCTGGGGTTGGCAGAGTATCTTGTTCGGTAGAAATCTCCTTGAGAAGGGTCTTCGTTGGCAGATTGGGGATGGACAGGCCGCCTCTCTTTTGCATTCCAGCTGGATTCCTCAATTACATCCCTCTGCCCCAGTTTATAGTCCTCAAATTCTTCCAGAGGGTGGGGATCCTTGTGTTTCTGAAGTTTTGTGCCCCGGTGAGGGGCGGTGTGTGACTCCAAGCTTTGACAATGGTTCGATCCCCTTACCTGTCAGGCAATTAAAGCAATCCCTCTACCCCGGCACAGTTTGCCGGATCAGCTTATCTAGCATGACACGGCTGATGGTCAGTTCACAGTGAAGTCATCTTACCATCTTGCGGTTCTGTTGGATAAGCAGAAAGGTTGGTGGCGCTCGTCGGCTAGTTGGATGGACAAAGCTAGTTGGATCCGGCTTTGGGAAGCTAATATACCACCGAAACTGAAGGTGTTCCTTTGGCAGATTCTGAACCGGATCCTTCCAACTGCGGAAGCCCTAATTGAGAGAAAGGTTCATGTGCACCCTAGATGCCCGGTGTGTTGGGAGGGAACTGAGACTTTGGAGCATCTATTTCTCTTTTGCCCAGTGGCCCGAGCACTTTGGGACCTTTCGGGAGTGGAATTTTTAGGGCAGGGTTTGCCTCGACATACTTTCCCCCTGTTTCTTAAAAGAGTAATGGCTCTCATTCATCAGCCGGATTTGTTTATGGCCTTGGTGGCTGTCCTCTGGCGAATATGGCGTTCGCGAAACTGGGTTGTCTTTGAAGGAAAACAGTTTGGGCTCCCAGCCTTGATGAGGCAGTTTCACCAGCAATATGAGGAATGGATAAGCCTGCCCTTGGATCGTGTTCTTCCTCCATATACCCCTCCTATCCTCCAGACTGCCTCTGTTAATGATTCCAGGATTGTCTGCCTCTGGGATGGGGCTACCAGGCAGGGGGCTCCCTTGGCTGGGGGTGTGGTGCTTATGACATCGAACTATGAGGTACTTTTGGCAAGGGGGCTTCAGTTTCCTGACCCGGTTGATCCGATAGTCATTGAATTACTGACCCTTCGGAAGGCTATTGGCTGGTGTTTGGGTCTGGGGTTCACAGAGGTTAGGTTTGAAGGAGATGGCAAGGTGATTATTGATAAGATTATTTTGCGGCAGACATGTGATAACTGGGTGGGAGCTATTCTGGAAGAAGTTTTACACTATTTTCATTCTAATCCGGGATTGGGTGTGCGGTTTGTAGGTCGGAATAACAATAGGGTAGCCCATAGGGTGGCTAGGAAGGCCCTTTCTTTGTCTCCGACTATGAGTCGTGTTTTTTATTTCCAGGCGTGGCTGGTTTCCCGGATGTAAGTATCTTTTCTTGAATCAATACAAGATTATCTTTTGTAAAAAAAAAAAACAAATATATGGCAATGCATGGCCAGACAAGAAAGGACAGCAGCAGACATCCCCCTGACCTCGACTCCCTCGTCACTTATTCTTCTCCAGAGTAATTTTAACAATTGACTGAGCCCCGTAATCCCTCTGTTTTCATTTCTTTAACCCTTCCCCTTACCACCTGGTTGGCTTCAATCTGCCATCTGCCTTTTCTCAAAATTTATCCATTGGAGTTTTTCCAGGCTGCTTAACTTAGCTTTTCCATTTCGTGTTGATCTCCCGCCCAATTGGCCCTTTTTTATCTGAATTCCTATTTGTAGCCCTAAGTTTTTGAATTTGTAGCCCTAAACTTACATACATGGACAATTTTACCCCTCATTTAACCTAAACCCTAAATTGACCCACCCATCCCTTACCCTATTTTCCCCAAAACAGAGCCTGCCGCCACCCACACCAGGCCGTCCCTCACCCATAGCTCCGCCACCCAGAGCTCCGCCACCCTCACCCAGAGCTCCGCCACTCTCACCCCTCACCCAGAGCTCCGGCGCCATCCAGGAGGAGAGGAAGTCGCCGCCGAAGCTCCTCCTTTCTCATTCGTTTATCTCTGCCCCGTCACTCTCCTCTTCGTTTCCCAGGAGAGTCGACTTCGCGGCGGGTTAGCACCAAGAGGAAGTCGCCGCCACCACCAAGACCCGTCGCCGCCACCCAGACCCGTCGCCGCCAGCATCTTCGCCCAAGCCCAGATCCGCCGCTAGCCCTCGGCTTCTGCTCAGACCCGCCGAAGGTAAATCTCTCCCTCTCCCTCTCCCTCTCTTGGATATTTCTTGAGTTGCGCCGACGTCGCGGGTTGAAAACCCGTCGCCAGTGGCTAGAGGCAGGTAGGGCGTCCGATTGGGGCCTGGGTAGACGCAGGCAGGGCACCCGCGCGGATCTGGCAGAGCCAGGAAGCCCACCTGCCCCGACCCTGGTCTGATCCGGTCTCTGACCCGCCCTGACCCTGGTCCGACCCGGTCTCTGACCCGCCCTGGCCCTGGTCCGACCTGTTTCCCGACCTGTTTTGAATTTTTTTTTTTCAATTAAAATGCAAATGTTAATGATTAGAATGTTCATTTTAATTAATAATATATAAATTTGCATAGTTAATTATAATCAATATATGACATTTATAATGGGAAGGAAGAAAAGAATCTTGGATTTTGTTGCGGTTGCTGTGTGATCAGACTTGTTGTTTAGCCCTCCAAATAGTGATAGTGATCATCATTACTAAAATTTGATGGGCCCTGAAATTTAGTGGCTGATCTGTAATCAAATGAGCCCTGAAATTTAGTGCTAATTAATTGCCTTTTCTTAGGGTTTTGTTTTGTTTTGGCGTGGATGAGAATTTAGTGCAGTGGTGATGTTAATTAGTTGGGTGTCTGTCTATGGCCAGAATATAATGTGATGGGCGATGGGGTAAATTGGCTGTAGTTTCATGTCTTTTCTTCTTCCTCTAGTGTTTGATTTTGTGGCCATCATAACGTATCATATGAATTTGAACTTTGAAGGAATGAATGATGCATGATAAAGTAGACAATATAAGTAGTGTTTGAATTGAAAAAGTTGTTGATTGTTAATAATGATTATAAATAGTTAATGAATATAGGATTGTTAATTGCAATACTAGAAGAATTAATTTTATTTTCTTGATAGCAGGCAACAATGAGCGAAAGAAGGGGCAAGGAAAAATCGAGGGTTCTCGGACGCAACGTTACAGTATCTGAGCGGAAAAAACGTCAGGAGGAGTCAGATAGACTTCGTGAGGAGGAGCGTCAGGAGAAGCTTTCGCGTCGTCAAGCTGCAGTGGATTCTCCCCCTCATAGCCATGTTTCTCAGCAGTTACCAGGCATCAACACATATGATGACATGGTGGAGGATGACGATAGCAGTGATGATGAGTGTGATGTGGAGGGTGATGATGAGTTGTCTTTTCATGAGTTGTTTTTCGACGGTCATCCCGGAGGTTCGAGTGATCATGTGTCTACTGGCTCGACCCATGGCAGTACTCTTGTTGGGCCGCTACGTAGCAAGGATGGGCGTTTTGCTTCGTCCTCTGATGGGAGCAGGCCTTCACGGAAGAAACCGAGGGATGAGACGTGGCCAGGAGGTTGATGTTGGATGTTGGATGGTGGATATTTTATGTTTTGATGTTGGATATTTGTTAAGGTTGATGTTGGATGTTGGATATTTTATGTTTTGATGTTGGATATTTGTTAAGGTTGATGTTGGATATTTCTTAAGGTACATTTGGATGTGTTATGTTTGAGTGTTTATATACTAATTAAAAATTTTAACCACTACTTATTTATCTAACAAAAACAAAACAAACACATCTTTTTTACCATCGGGTGGGTAGGGAATATGGCTCAACCAGCGGTTAGAAGGGTAGAAAATATGGCTCGACCTCCGGAAGGGCGGGTAGGATATATGCCCGCACCTCCAGGAAGACGGTTTCACAACATGCTTTGTCCACGGCCTGTGCTGGAAGGGTATATTCCTGCACCATCCGTCAGGTGGGTGTTCAACATGCTCAACCAACGGTGTTCATTGGTAGGTGAAATGTTTGGTCCGTGGTTAAGGCAGGTTTTCAACATGCCTAGTCTATTTTTTCAGCAACAATAATTGTGAACACAATTGATTAATTCCACCTAAAATTACATACATTTTAACACAAAATGTCAATCCTTGATAATTGCACCTGAATCCACACAAATTTGAACATAAACACATACTAGACACATCAATAACATAATCAATCTAAGGCAACAATGTTTAATCATTCTCTTCATCGTCAGTGGGTGGATAATGTCCTCCAAGGATGGCATACAATTCCTGCTCTTGTTGGTATAACTCATCCCAATGCGGAATTGTGCTCATATTCCGAAAATGAGTCCATTGTGGACTAAAATATGGCATTGGTGTCACCCCATCGACATTGTCGAGAACTAGTCGGACCCAATGGGCCCCAGTAAAGACCATTGGCAGAACATAACTGGGATGAGTGAACCCTGGCGGTGCCGTCATAGGTAAGGCGGTGTACCCATACGTGCGCTCTCGCGCCCCCTGCACTCCATATACGACAATTGCCCAGTTGTACATGGTTGCGTATGCCAACAAATCCACCTCCTCAAACCAATACTCTCTGTCGCACCTCCCAGCAGTCTGACAATTCAACCTGTGAAGTACTTGCTCCAACGTTCCATCTCTAGATTGGTAAGCTTCCTTGTATATATCCCACTGATTTTGTACTTCTATGATAAGATCTTGTCTCATTTGCATGTAGTGTCCCTCGTCTCCATGAATCGCATGTGACATGGCCCGAAAACCACAATGTCCATCTGGTTCTGGGTCAAACCAACCTCTAACAAGAGGATGCATGCTAGGTGGGACCCAACGGAGGTAAGGACAAACATTTCTCTCACTATGAACTTGCATATCTTGACTTTTCCGCATGCCTGCAGCATATTGTAGAAAATAATTAATATTACGGTCACAAAACAAGAAATATTACTATGAAAACATATTCCAATGATGCTAACCTGCGGTGGGCCTCCGGTTTTGAGGTGTTCTGCTCCTCGATGTCCTCGGAATTTGATTTGTTCTGCTCGTCTGTGCCGACCTTGCCCTCTCATGCTCAAACCATGAAGGATCTCGAGTGTTGCTCCTCCTAGGTGGTCGTCCCTTTGTAACCTCTAACTCCTTAGGCTCTTGTAGGCCTTCAACTTGTGGAAGAATATGAGGGCGTAGTACTTGAGTTGCCTTTCGGATAGCAGCTGGCCCTTGCTTGTACACATCTTGTACCATGGCTGTAAAAGTGTCACGCTCAATGGCATCGTGATCTTCCCATTCTGCAAGATCGGGAGGACTCTCATACACCAAAGATGACCAGAATGGATGTAAGTGGTGGTGGTGCAACTCCACGCCAGCAGCACTCAATTCATCCATCTTACATTTACATGGTAGACCATGTGTTTCAGGTATCCGGCATCCACATCCCTGAACAATTTTCCTCTCTCGTTCTTCCATCAGTAACTCAACTGCCCACAAGCTCACTGTAGTATTCAGGTTAACATATGGCGGTCCATAGGCTAATGCAAACACCTATTCCAAAATCATGAATTTCTAATAAAAAATCAAATTGAGGATATAGGGAAATGCCAAATTAAATAAGCAAAAACGAGAATACCTTGGAAAGTGAATCCTCCAAGTCCTTCCTCAATTCAATCACTCTTCCGTTGACGGATGTGTGAAACCTGAGGAAGAGTGTATCGATCTTGTGGGTCGAAGTGGCAAGCCATTTCTTTAAGGAGGAATGCATCGACTCTACCCTATTTGTGCTCGTGTTACCGATATGGAAGATGCGATTGGTGTAGCAATTTGCCCACCTTTCCCTGCATGGCAACCACTCACCTCTCAAGTAGTCCATTAACTTGTTGTTTGAACCCCAATGACTATTTTGCAACTCTAGCCAACGACGTTGGAACCCTGCCTCAGTATTAGCTCGCAAGACTCTCTCCCATAGACTTCCTACAAATAACTCAGCAGAATCACGACCAATCCCCAACTGCATCATTTTGGCTTCAATGTTCTTTTTCATGTGCCACACACATAGTAAATGAGCTGAAGATGGAAAGATCTGTTGCAAAGAGACACCCAATCCTCCCGCCTTGTCTGTGACGAACGCAACCGGGGTTTGATCACCAAGCACAATCTTCAATTGCATCAAAACCCAAGCATATGTCTCCTTCGTCTCATCTAAAATCAATGCGAACCCAATGTTGAAGTTCTTCTTCACCGGACTAACACCAATCAACTGAACCAGTGGCTGCTTATACTTGTTAGTCTTGTACGTCGAGTCTATCAAAACAACAAAATACCATGCCAACAACATCCGAATCGACTCAGGATGGCATAGGAAGAGTCTAGTAACACGACGTTGATCATCAAATTCACACTCAATAAAGTAGCCAAGACGTTGAGCTTCTATCAATGTCCACCGCATAGGTTTCAACCCACCCAATCTCTCACGCCTAATTTTTGCTGTCTCATTATAAATCTGAGTCATGTTGTGATGAGCATCGTACTTCATATTGAGCAAACTTCTGATATCTTTCGCCTGAGTATGTGTTGCCTCCAACTCCTTAATATTCATTTTTTCCTCCTGCGAAAGAGCATTCTTTTGCCTGCTTCCCTCAGAGTAAACCTCCAATCTGTGATTGTGAAATCCCCTCGACTTAATCCCATGAATTCTCCACTTACACTTGCCATCTATTTTTACGGATTGCACCACCACTCGGAAACGACAACCTAACTTGCCTGTTGTAGATTTGCTCCGTGTTGTCTTTGCGGGATCAGACGTATATGAGTTGCTCCTACTACCATGGTTGCAATCCATATAGATCTGCGGATTGCCTTCTCCATCATTTTTCTTGACTGATGCCACTATCAAGGAAAAACTATTACTCATGGCAATCTCCTTTGCCGCTTTACAAGCTTGATCACGGGTATCATAAACATCACTTAGAAACAATGATGTGCAATCAACATTGTCACCCTCATTAACTCCGGATCCACCCTACAAGAAATACAAGTTAAAAACATTTAGTTGTGCAACAATTATGTTACGATAATTAAATTATAAAAAATAACTACTTACCGAATCATCCATAATAGTTTCCTTGTTAGTAAATGATGGTGGCACAAGATTTTTATCCTCCTTCCTAATAAACACAATTAACGACGAAACTTAATGAACATAAATATCATAATTTAAGTGAATTTTCATTAAAAAGGTCTATGACATCACAAAGTTACTCGAGCATGTTCAAAACTAGACCAGACCGAGGGAGGGGCATGTTCAAAACTAGACAGACCGAGGGACGGGCATGTTGAAAACTAGACAGACCGAAAGACGGGCATGTTGGAAACATGCTTATACAGGAGAACGAGCATGTTGCGAGCATTCCTAGAGGATGGAACGGGCAGGTGGACAAACCGTCCGTTCCATGGCTGATGCAGGGTTTCAACATGCTTGACCACTGGTCGCGCAGATTTTCAACATGCTCGACTTGTTTTCCAGAAGAAAAAAAAATTGCAAACGAAATCTTACCTTTAGTCCGAAGCCCTGCATGCTATGACGATCGAGACCGACTACTTCTCTACCTCCGGCAAACTCGCCGGAATCCGGCTAAAATTTTGTCAATGTAGAAGATTGTAGTTGGATTTTGTGTTGTGTGGTTTGGTTTTAACTTTTGGTTTGATAATTTCTGTTTTGTGTTGGAAGAATGAGTTAAATGGGTTGGGTTAGATGGTTGGAGCATTAACTTTGGTGGTTGAACCATAAAATTAAATGAAGGGTTGTTTTGTAAATTTGTATGGTTTAGGGCGACAAAATTTAAAAATTTAGGGCGACGAATATTAACTCTCCTTTTTTATTTGGCAGGAAAGCAGAAGTTCTGAAAGCACTGCAAAAGTAGTGAGAAGAAGATAAAAAAGATACAGAGAGCAAAGGAAAGGAGGCAGGGGATGGGTAATGGGAACATACCATGATCCCCCCATTTCCCATTTCCCCCAAATCCTTCGTCAGAAAGTAACCATCTTCCCCACTTTAACCCTATCTGATGTGTCATTATCATATCATCCTCAAGGAGAAGAAAAATCAACACAGAGAGAGAAAGCAAAAGCAGGGCAGCAAAACCCTTCTCCACTTTCCCCACCTTCTCTCCCTTTACTGTGATGGAGCTGGTTAAGCACACCTAAAGCCACAAACCCAACTCAATAAGAACTCCCCATTTCAGCTCTGTGGAAACTCTTACTCCCACTCTACTCCCTCACAAGCCCTCTGCCAACCTCAACAATGGTCGCCTCGCCGCCTTCCATCTGCTTCCTCTCCTTCATCCTCTGCTCCTATCTCCTCTTCATTCCATCTTCCGGTGAGTAGTAGTTTCAGCTTTACTTGGTTTCTCAAATGGGTAGTCAGAAAAACAAAGAAAGAACTCAACTTTATAATGCTTCTCTGTTTCTCCTTCCCTTGTGTGTGTTTACAGGGGCAGTTAACGTTCTGGGTTTGCCGTACAACAATGGCGGAGCAAACTCTGCAGCAGCAGTTCGAGTTTTCCTCTCAGATCACACCGCCGTGTCTCCTCCCTCCGCCATTGCAGGACGAGTAGCTCGGATCTACGCTCAAATCAACCTTCTGATTCCTTCCTTTTCTTCCCGAAGGGAGCTGGCTGAAACTGGGACAGCTAATTCGGTGAAGGAAGGAGTTACTCTTCCTATGCCGACCATAATCACTGTCCCGGCTACAAACCCTGCTACCCTAACCCCCACAAATCCCACTACCACTCTCCCCATCCCCTCCGTCACACCACCCATCACCGTCCCTCCCGCTAACCCTACCGTCGGAGGAGGGGTTTCTCCGGTGCCGATCACTAACCCGACAACAACTCCCACTCCACCAGCTGCTACAATTCCAGGGGCTGGGGCAGGGGGGCAACCGCCGGTGACCAATCCTGCCACCTCATACACTCCTCCCGCTGCCGGCGGCGGCGCCGTTGGTGGTGGTGTTACTCCTCCACCTGCTGTGACGAACCCTGTTGCGCCGCCTGCTGGTGGTGGCGGGAATGCGCCGGCGGTTCCAGGGCAGAGCTGGTGCGTGGCGAAGTCAGGGGTTTCGGAGGCGGCTCTGCAGGCTGCTCTGGATTATGCTTGCGGAATGGGTGGTGCTGATTGCTCCCAAATCCAGCAGGGTTCGGGTTGCTACAACCCCAACACGCTTCAGAACCATGCTTCCTTTGCGTTCAATAGCTATTACCAGAAGAACCCTACGGCCACCAGCTGTGATTTTGGAGGCGCCGCTGCTGTCGTTAGTAGCAACCCAAGTAAGATCCTTGCTCCCCTTTTAGTAGTGAAGCATGACTTCAAAGCTTAGCAACTGAACTGCCAAAGCCATTTTGTTACAGAACAGTCGCATTGTTGCAAAAATTACCTTATATAGGCAAACCGTTTCCTATTCAAGAATGAGTTGGATCTAGGATCTGTGTATTTGCTAACTTTGGTGTTAATCTGGACTATTTGACAATATCTGACTGCTGCCAGGCAAAGTGATTGTTTTGCTACGAATTAGGCAAGCTTAGTTAGTGACCATTATGTTAGGAAAACTACATGTGATGGTTCTGATTGGGTTTATGGCATTTGTAAATAGGTTCTGGCACCTGCGTCTATCCGTCGTCCTCATCGTCATCGTCGACACCACCATCCTCGTCGTCTTCGTCTCCTCCAGCCACGACATCAGGAACCCCTCCATTAACACCTTCAGTTCCAATGTCACCAACATCAAGTGGAATTCCAGTCACGAATCCTGCCACAACTAATTCATCTCCTCCTGCAGGGATGGGGACAACAGGGTAAGGCACTCATTCATTTGTTCATTGTGTTGAAAAACGAGAGGTTTCTGTAGGTCACAAAGTCATAGAACTCTGTTCTCTAACTTTTTACTCCACAGGACCACTGTCACTCCTCCATCGGTGTTGAACTCGAGCAGCCCTGGTGGTGCCACGCCCAGCATTTTCGGGACTGATATCCCACCTGGAGTGAACCCGAGTCCAATGGACGGTTCCAACTCGGTTGTTTCAAAACCGTTCCTTGGATTCGTGGTACTGGCAGCCTCCTTCATTGGAGGAGTAGTCGTTTTTGACATGTAGAGTTGATCCACACTGGCTTCATACAGTGGATGAACTCGATCTAGTTTCCAAGTAGTGTACAGATCGAAGTTGTAGTTTGCATGGATGATGACGGCGGATGGAGTTGTACCCACGGTGGCTAGGCTTACTAGAGGACGCTATTGGCCGTTGCTAGCTAGCTAGCTTGCTATTGTTTAAGAGGGAGGGCTGTTGGAACAACGTTAGGAGATGTAGAAAGATTTTCATTGCAGAACCTGCATTTCCATTCATATCATATGTTACGATCACATACATGTTTTAATGGCTAGCTAGTAATTACTATTATGATTATTATCGTCATCATCAATGTTGCTGGATCGTTAGGTTAGTGGAGTGAAAATAATTGAGCTTGTTTGTTACTTTATGTATATCCCTCTGATG